GCTTGAGGCGGGGCGGGGGTTGTGGGGGCGGGGTTGAGTCTGGCTCCGCCCCGGAGCAGTCACCAGCCCCGTTCAGAGGATGAGACCGGAAGTGCTGTGGAAGTTGTTTTTGTTTTTCTAAGGTTAAACAGCCCTTCCCGCCCCTGCATTGGGTGGAAGGATGGTGTGTGCACTTTAATTCCGATCTCCCCAAGCCCTGCAGATTGCGTTCTCGAAGTGCGGAGAGGAAACTGAGGCTCACGTATGGGGCGGTGGGCTGATCCCAAACCTGGCCTCATGTTCGTCAAGGGCCTCTTCATTCTGAATCCCTGTGTCCTCAGGCTGCTGACCAGACTCAGACACCTACCCCTGGGCTTCGTGCCCGTATTGGTCTACACTGCCTTGATGCATGCTAAGTTGACATATCCCATAATTACCTTTTAATAGCATAATAATATTGCATTGTGTCTGTGTTAACAAGTATTACTTTGTAAGAGCTGGCCCGTGGCTCACTCGGGAGAGTGTGGTGCTGATAACACCAAGGCCATGGGTTCAGATCCTTATATAGGGATGGCCGGTTAGCTCACTTGGGAGAGCGTGGTGCTGACAAGACCAAGTAAAGGGTTAAGATCCCCTTACTGGTCATCTTTAAAAAAAAAAAAAAAAGTCAAGTATTACTTTGTAAAGAACAAACATTGAATAAACCATAGTTCTTACTGGAACCCAGAACTGGGCGTTTTACATGCCAGTAGCCTCATAACCAGAGGTGGTCTGACCTGTCTACCTCTAGCAGGCCCTGATGTCATCACACGCCGCACAGGAACCCAAATCTTCAGCCACCCAGCCCAAGGAGAGGTGGGAGGAGCCCGTGGCTTGAGGCAGTGCAGCAGGCAGGAAGAGCCTAAGAGAGGAAGGGGTCACCCCCCCACACTTGGGAGGGGCCCCCAGCAGATTGCTGAAGCCATCTGAGGAGGAAGTGAGAGGAGGAGGTGAGGTGCAGCAGGGAGGTGAGCCAGGCTGGTGGGGACAGGGGCTGGGCCTGGGCCTGGGTCTCTGTATAAAGGCCTAGCCTTTCTGTCACTTCAGAGTGTAGCCGCCCCTCCCCAATAAAAGAGGGGACATAGAGGGCTTGGTGAGATAGCGTGAAACCTTCCACCTTGGATTCCACAGACAGGCCCTGGGGCTGGGGACTGGCTTGATGGGAACCCAAGCCCGATTGGCCAGGAGTGGCCCCTCACACTGGCTCTCCCCACATCCTGCAGCCTGTGGCATCGGGGGTCTGGGACACCATGGCCCGGGCCTTGGGGGAGGACCTGGTGCAGCCTTCTGAGCTGCAGGATGACTCCAGCTCTTTGGGGTCTGATTCAGAACTGAGTGGGCCTGGTCCGTACCGCCAGGCTGACCGCTATGGCTTCATTGGGGGCAGCTCAGTAGAGCCAGGGTAAGTGGGGAAATGATGGGGGATGGTGGGGTGCTGGGACTGAGGATGGGGGCTGAGGGCTGAATTCTGGAGTGAGGCCTAACTTTGGGGGTCAGGAGATGGTCTGTCGGTAGGGACTGGGCTGGGGACTTCGCCAGTATCACCCCTGTTCAGGCTCCAGGTGGGATCCAAAGGTGGGAAGTGAAAGAAGGGAACATGTGTGCCTTTGTATGTCTCTTGTACCCCCAACTTCCAAGGGTTTGCACTACCCCTGGTGCTGAACATCCTTCCCCTCCTAATCTCTGGCCCAGGAATCCCAGATCCAAATCGCAGAACCCACACCACCCCCACCTCCCACCCTATCTTCCCCAATGTACAGACAGGAAAACAAGTCCAGAGACTAAAACTTGCCCCAGGTAATGCAGCAGATCAGAAGCAGAACCAGACTCAAACTCAGTCCAGGGCTGTGTCCACTCAGCTTCCCCAATGAATTGTTTGTGTTCTTGTCCTGGGTGACAGCCAACCAACCCCTCCCCCAACACACAACCACTCACCCCTTCAGTCTCACCTGCTTATGCCCACATCAGAGTCACATGCTTTCCCGTCCCCGTGACAACCATTGGCAGCTCCTGGGTCACAGGTCACCCTCCAGGACTTCCCAGAGATCCCCAGGGTCGGAGCTGGGCTCACCTGGGTAGCTTGGAGGGTGGCAGGTGTGGGATCCAGGTACAGCTGCGCAGTGCCTGGATACCTATGCCGTGTGCCTCCAGGCCAGGTCAACCCCCTGCAGACCTTATCCGCCAACGGGAGATGAAGTGGGTGGAGATGACCTCACACTGGGAGAAAACCATGTCCCGGCGGTACAAGAAGGTGAGGGGAGAGCAGCCCCACCCCGGCGTCCTCGGCTCATTTCCCTCTGCCTCTGCCCACGCCTCGGCAAGGTGTACCCATCCTGTGTTCCAGCACCTCCTGCCTTGGCTCCCTGCCACCCAAAGGGTCCCCGCCTGATGATAAGTTGTGCTTGGGGCCTGCCCACAGGAGGGAGGCTGGCCTAATAGTCCCTCGGCCTCCCCTGCAGGTGAAGATGCAGTGCCGGAAAGGCATCCCCTCAGCCCTGCGGGCCCGCTGCTGGCCCCTGTTGTGTGGGGCCCACGTGTGTCAGAGGAACAGCCCCAGCATCTATCAGGTGAGGGGGTTGGCAGGGGAGGAAGGGCTCTCCCCTTCCCGGAGCCCCTTGCCACACTGAGCCCTCGCACTCACCTTCTTGCCCACCCACAGGAGCTGGCGGAGGCTCCTGGAGACCCGCAGTGGACCGAGACCATCGGCAGGGACCTGCATCGCCAATTCCCTCTGCATGAGATGTTTGTGTCACCTCAGGGTCATGGGTAAGAGGCCGGTGAAGCCCAGGGACCCCCAGCCACCCAACCCCCAGGTGCTTCAGACCAGTCTCCCCATCCGAGCCTTATGTCCTTGCATCTCAGGGGACCCAGTAAGGCCCAGGGAGGCTGAGGCCTGGGCAGAGGCCACCGGAGGGTAGGGAAGGGATGCCTGGAGGACTGGCCCCTAACAGGGTCTTCTGGCACAGGCAGCAGGGGCTCCTGCAGGTACTGAAGGCCTACACCCTGTATCGGCCAGAACAGGGCTACTGCCAGGCCCAGGGACCTGTGGCTGCTGTGCTACTCATGCACCTGCCCCCAGAGGTGAGTGACCTCGACCCTGCTCCAGGAACCTGAGCCCCTGACCCCCAAACCCTAGTGACCCAGGCCCCCAGTGATCCTGAGCTCTAAACCCATGACCCGCAGCCTCAGGGACCTGATATCCTTGACTCCCAGACCCTGTAGTGACCCAGGGCCTCAGGACTGTCCACCTCAGTGACCTTCAAGTCTAATGTCCTAGACTCTAGGAACCTGGGACTCTTGACCCTGACCCTTACCCTAGTGATCTAAGAATTTGGGTGTTATCACCGTGACCCATGACCTCTCTGATCCTGAACCCTGTGACCCCTGACCTCAATGACTTCAGGAACCTAGGGCTTGAGCTTTGGGACCCTCCCAAGCCTTGCTCAGTGAGCCCCAACCCTGTGACCCTGAAATCCAGCACCCTGAGCCCTGTGACTGCCAACCCCCTAAACCCATCAGTGGGCCCTGTCTTAGGCAGAGCCCCCAGGCCCTGAGCGGAGTAGGAGCAGCACTGAGTCCAGGCTCCTATTGCTGCCTAGGCCTTCCCCTGCTTGCCCCTTTCTCCTGTCCTGCCTTCCCCTCTGTGGTCCCTTCTATGGTGGGCACTCATGGGCCTGTGCCCTGCCCACCCCCCCAGGAGGCCTTCTGGTGTCTGGTGCAAATCTGTGAGGTCTACCTCCCCGGCTACTACGGGCCCCACATGGTGAGAGGCTGGGATGGGGGCTGGAGGCAGGAGGGGAGGGGCCTGGGGACTGAGGGGGGCAGAAGCCTGGGGTTTAGGAGTGGTGGTGCTGGGCAGCACTGGGCAGCCGGGCTGACGGGTATGGCTGCAGGAAGCTGTACAGCTGGACGCCGAGGTGTTCATGGCCCTGCTGCGGCGGCTGCTCCCACGTGTGCACAAGCACCTGCAGCAGGTGGGCGTCGGGCCCCTGCTCTACCTGCCCGAGTGGTTCCTGTGCCTCTTCGCTCGCTCCCTGCCCTTCCCCACGGTGCTGCGTGTCTGGGATGCCTTCCTCAGTGAGGGTGAGTGGGGCGGCCCGTGGCAGGGCCGGGAGCCTTGAGTGCACACAGGGAGCTAGCTCGCCTGTTCTGGATCTGCTCCACTCTGCCACTGCCACTCCTGGCCCTTCGGGGGCCTCACATCACAGCCCTGGGTGTGATGAAAGTAGTGGCCCCATGCCTGGCTCTGGAGAAAGCAGCCCAGGCCCTGGTGGCACATCACCAGTGTAATGAATCGTAGCCCCCAAGATGGAGACCACTGTAGAGAGGACAGGCGCTGCCCAGGGCAGGGCTGGGGACAGGGAGGCTTCCATGTGAGGTGGCTGGGGCAGGAGCACAGCTCTTGGAGGCCTGATTAGCTCAGGGGCTGGGCAGGTTGGGGCATGGCTGACGAAAGGAGGTGCTCCTCCTCGGAGCCCCTGGCACTGGCCAAATGCTCATCGGCACCAGGCGCGGCTCTGGCAGCCAGGAGTATCTTCATTCTGGTGGGGACAGGGATGGGAGGTGATGGTACCCCAATTAACAAGACATTTATAGATTGTCATGAGTGCCATGAAGGAAATAAAACAAAGGATGTGACAGAGAGTGTCAGGGGAGCAGCAGGAGGTGATCCCTGTTTTTAAAGATGTTTCTGGCCACTCTATGGAGGAGGCAAGCCTGCAGGGGCACTCATGGAGGCCACGGCCAGGAAGGCCACTGTCCGCAGGGTCCAGGCTATAGCCGACGCAGGAGGGAGGGGTGGGAAGGTGAAGCCACAGAGATGGCCACTGGGGGCCAGGTCAAGAGTAGAAGAGGAGTTGGGCAGAGCCGAGCTGGACTCCTTGGGTCTTCGGGACTCTGCCTCCATATCCCTATCCTGTAACCCACCCGTATCCTGTCCTATATGTGACGTCTGAAGATTGTGCCTAAAAAAAGAGTAGAAATCAATCAGTACATACATTGAGCACCTGCTATATGTCCAGCCAGCTGCAGGACCACTAGCTGGTCTAGAGCTCTGGCCACACATGGCCGAGTTGCCATCTTTGTGTCACCATCCCTCCAGCCTCAGACCTTTAGGGTGGGGCCTGACCAGTGTGGCTGCACTCATCCCTGCCCCCTTCACCTGAGAACAAGAACTGCGCAGGCCACCCTTGACAACAACGATGTTATTAGTAGTGGTGATTGTGCCTTCACCAGTCACAGTTGTCACTAGGCCTCGATGGTCCCCTGGCTGCCGTTCTTAGCAGATCAGAAGCTGCCAGGAAGGGACTTTGAGGCTCCAGGCCTGGCCAAGGTCACACCGTGTATGTGTGCACACATGCACGCGGACACACACACTCAGCACTATGCTGTTACTTTAGGGGTGAGAAGTTGTGCCTAGATTCTTTCTAGAATTAAAGGGTCACAGATCCAAGCTGGAAAGGCCTTAAAAGGCACCCAGCTGACCTCTCCTTGTACATACGAGGAAGCTGAGGCCCAGAGAAAGCTGGGCATGAAGTTATCAGTAGCCCCTGACTCCTGGCACGCTGCTCTGCCCAGAAGTGTCTGGGGCTCCTGACGCTGACTTGGCCCATTCCCCACAGTTTGCAATCTTCCCCTTCATCATTGCTCCTGACCTGAGTTGGGGAAGGGGCAGAGCTGCAGGGAGGGTGGAAGGAGTATGGCTGAGGGCAGGTTCAGGTGTAGAACTGGCCAGGGCAGGGCTGGCCTCCCAGTGAGTAGCCCCTGGCCTGCAGGTGCCAAGGTGCTGTTCCGTGTGGGGCTGACCCTGGTGCGCCTGGCGCTGGGTACTGCAGAGCAGCGCATGGCCTGCCCGGGGCTCCTGGAGACACTCGGTGCCCTTCGAGCCATCCCCCCAGCCCAGCTGCAGGAGGAGGTCTTCATGTCCCAGGTGGGTGCCCCCTGCCTACCCTCCACAATGGCCCAGCCTCTGTTGCACAGCTAAGGAAACTGAGACCCAGAACGGGAAGCCAAAGTGAGAACCAGGGCCCAGTTCCTGTCCTCTGAGCTGCAGAGAACATGAAAACCCCAGGCCTCAAGTAGCTTTCTGTGGCTCACCTAGCGAGGCTGTCTGTCAGCCCTCAGCCCTCAGCCGCTTCCTGGGCTGTGTACTGCCCGCCCTGTGGGGACCTCATGGTTTCCTGCCCCACCCCCTGAGTCCGGGCAAACTCAGTACCAACTGCTCCCCACAGGTGCACAGCGTGGCCCTGTCGGAGCGGGACCTGCAGCGGGAGATCAGGGCCCAGCTGGCCCAGCTGTCCGACTCAGCACCTGGGCCACCTCCTCGGCCGCAGGACCGCCTTCCTGGGGCCCAAGCCATCTTTGAGGCCCAGCAGCTAGCAGGGGCAAGAGGAGGCGCCAAGCCTGAGGTGCCCCGAATTGTGGTGCAGCCCCCGGAGGAGCCCAGGCCACCACGGCGCAAACCCCAGACCCGTGGCAAGACTTTCCACGGACTCCTGACTCGGGCCCGGGGCCCTCCCATCGAGGGCCCCTCCAGGCCCCATCGAGGCTCCGCCTCCTTCCTGGACACCCATTTCTGAAGGTCCTGCTTTTGAGGGTACCATGGACGCAGTGCCCACTAATCCCAACCACCTGAGTGGCTGATGCCAGCCAGCCCTGCAAATGGTCACCGCATTTACTGCTGGGATCTGGGGACTCAGCTCCCTTCCCAGCAAGGACTAGGCAGTGGGGGAGGGGGACTTCCCCACTTTACGGACTGTGCCAGGCACAAGGATGAAGGAAGTTCACAGAGTGGGGCTTGTGGGGACCCAGGCCGGCCATCTACCCATGGAGCTGTCCTGGTTCCTGGGCCCCACAAGTATCAAAGCCAGCACTGATGGAGTATGGGGGTGAGGCGGCTGGCGGGGCTACAGGACCCCAAAGGGCTCCCGGGGGATCTGGAATAAAGTCTGACTGAGCAGATGTCTGGATGCAGTTGAATCAAGTGGCCTCCACCCCTAACCCTGGATGTGCTGTACCTGCCCCTCCTCAACCTCACCCACCCCTCCCAGGGACACTCTGCTCTGGCCCAGCCCTAGGCTGCCCATTGGCTGCTGGAGAAGGTGTTTACTAGCAACAGGAGCTGATTGTGAGCCGATTTGCCCCAGCCTCCTGGGGCAGGTGAGGCTTTCCACCTGCCCGAGGAGGGGTCCCCAGTGGATGCTGGGCCCAGGAGGAGCTCTATCCCCTTATCTGCCCTCCTTCCCACCCCCTAGCCTGGTTCAGGACTCCCCGCGGTGGGGGGACTCAACCCCAAGTCCCCCCCCACTCCCTGCCATGATCCTAATCCATCTGTCAAAGGGAGCCAGGCAAGAACAAAGACTTAGTGTGCCCAAGACAAAGGAGAAAGGTCCCGCCAGCCCTTGCCCCTCCCTAAGCCCTGGATGCACACCCTCGGGACCGCCACCATGGAAACCCCCTCCTACACTCACTAATTGCTCCCATGGGTGCTTGGGGTGCCTGGGACATGAGCTATCGCCAGGACAACAGGGCTGATTCGATGCAGGATGTGTCCCCACAGTGCCCATTACTGGTGCCCTTCTTCCCTGCCTCCCTTGGCAGCTCCCCATCATGCTGGAGGTGGGGAACATGGCAGGACTTGGGAGGACCAAGAGAAGGCACCTGGAGGCCCATGCTTACCTAATGGTGAGCATTTAATCTGCATGTCCCAGTGGCTGTGCTGGAACATTGTCATGGCCACCTATCAAACCTGGATTCCAAATATTCTAGTGACTGGGCCACAGGCTGTGGAAACATACCCATTCTATGCATGTTCGTGTGGTACCTACTATGTGTCTGGCAAGGCCCTGAATCTGGGCAGACCTGTCCTACTCCCAAGGAGCTCACCACCTTGAGGGAATCATGGAGGTCCAGTCCAATATCTGTAGTTCTGCTGGAGGAAACTGAGGCTCAGGAGGGGAGGAAACTTGGTCAAAGCCTCACTGCCCATGGCAGACCCAAGCTTTACCCCTGCCCCCACCATTGGCAGCCCATGAACGAACCCCTGCACTGGGCACCCACCTCGGCCTGCCCTCCTGCGGGTGCTCTCTCCGCTGCCAGCTCATCCCACCCCCAGTCCGTGCCAGCCTGGGGCTTGGCCCCTCTGAGTGTGGAGTGGCGGCTGGGGTCCTGTGTGTTACAGAGTTGAAGAGAGCTTCCAGAGCCTTCCTTTCCTCCCTCCTCCACCCTACTGGGGTACCTGCCACTGAATAATAATCCTCTCACCTGAAGATCACAAAACCCTTTCTCAGACCCCCCACACCCTCCCTCTGTAGGTGGCCCTGATAGATTAAAGACATGGAGCCTTTGCAAGGTTGAGTACCGAGCCCAAGACCACAACGAGAGGCAGAGCTGGCTAGAATGCAGATCTCTGTGCCTTCTAGATAATGCCTTAGCCCAGAGGAGGAGTCTAATGATGGAATCTCAGGCACTGTAGCAGGTGGGTCCGTGGGGGGCTTGCCCCTGGAGGTCACACATAAATTCTTTGCCCTCCAAGGTTCAGCTCTTCTGCTAGGAGAACAGGAAGCAAGAATGCAGCAACTTAAGTCCTGGGCCCAGAATGAGGCTGGGGGTGGGGGGAGTGGCACAGTGACAGTGGCTCATCCTGGATTCAGACCCTAGGAGCAGGTGGTCTCCTGCCGGGACCCCCCAGCTGGCATTGAATCACTGACATTTGTACTCAGGGAAGTATTTTCTGGGCAGCTTTTCTGCAGGTCCCATTACCAACCATCTGCACAGGGAGCCCAAACTGAGGGCTCACACCAGAAAAGGACCAGCTCTTCCTCCTGTGAACATGTATACACATGTTCCTGCAGGCCCTCCTCCACAGGGCCGCACTAATCCCCACAGCGCCTTTGCACTAGTTGGAAAACGATGTCCCTCCTCCAGGAGATATGCAGCCCTGCCACAGTGCACAGTGTGGCGGAGCAGGGAGAAACACTCAGATGGGTGCCTTTGTGCAGTGAGAAACATGCACAACCATACTCAGTAAACCTAGTAGCTCACTGCAAACCCGCCTGGAAAGGTGCTCAGAGAGGGGAGGCGATACATTCAAGAGTGCTCAGTCTGTGGGGATCAAAGTGCCCAGGGATGTCTGTCGGCCTGCATCAGCCCAGAGGACAGAAGTGGGGGGCACACAAGGGAGTGGAAGGGCGAGTGGATCCCCACCTTGGATCAGGGGGAGAACCCATGTCTCCATCTTTTTTTTTTTTTTCCTTTTTGTCTTTTTTTCATGACTGGTAACGGGATCGCAACCCTCGGTGTCGCGCCCGTACCGCGCTCAACCAGTGAGCGTACCGGTCTCTATATGAGATCCGAACCCTCGGCGGGAGCACTGCCGCGCTCCCAAGCGCCGCACTCCACCGAGTGCGCCACTGGGCCGGCCCCCATGTCTCCATCTTGCACTGCCACCCACCCCAGATGTTCCCCCAATCCCCCACGGTTCCCAGAGGCCAGTCTTGGACTCTGCAAAGTCCCCACATGGGAAAGGCCCTCTCCCCTCTCTGAGCCTCGGTTTTCTCCTACAGATAATGGGATAACAATAGCTCCTGCCCCAGCCTCAAGAGTGCTCTGACAGTCTCCTTGTGATGATTGTGTTCAGTCCCGCTGGGCAGCTGAAGCTTTGCCTCTCCTCACCACACCCCTACCTGGCTCAGCTCAGCCTTGGGTGATGTCCAGGCTTTCCTGGCGGGGACAGAGCAGGACCACCCTGCCTGCCCTGATTTTCCTCCTGCATCTGTAAGTCAAAAACCAGTGTGGCTCGTGCCTAGCCAGGGTGGCCTGGCAGTGGGCACAGAACCACACTGCTCTCTGTGCACGTATGCACACATTCTGGCAGAGGGAAGACCCCAGCTCTGCCTTTCACCAGCTGTGTGACCTTGGGCAAATCACACCACGTCTCTAAGCCTCACTTTCCTCATGTGTAAAAGGCAGAGAATTGTAATTGCTACCTCATAGTGTTAAGTGAGATACTGCACATACAGCCCCCTGCAGTGCCTGGTACAAGGTCAAGAAACACTTGCTGATATGACCACTGAGTGCTCACCTACTGCCAGGCGTCCCCTGCCCAAGCCTAGGCTAGGTACACACCACAATCGCCACTTGATGATGAGAAAACTGACTCCCAAAAGGCTGCATACACAGCTCGCTAAATGTTGGATCTCATGCTCTTTAGATGACATCCATGTCCCACCCCTGCCCCTGCAGTGGGATCACACAGGAGCTCAGGCCACCCATGCAGTAAGGGAATGGACCTTTGGGGTGGCTGCACCTCATTCCTGGGCTGGTGGCAGGGAGGGCTATGCGTGGACCTGGAGCTGGAAGAGCCTAGAAAGCTGTGTGGGAAATGTGGGCTGGGCTGGGGGGACCCTGGCTAAGTCACTTCCCTGCTGTGAGCCCCTCCAGTGGTAGACAGGGGTGGGTCCTCACGGGCTGCTCTGTGTAGAGTTATAGAAAAGGTTTAAAAGCTGCCACCTCTGTCCCCACAGGTGCCGCCAGCCCCTCCATACTCTCTCCCCAGCCCAGGAGGCTTTGGTGACAGTCGGGAGAGGGTCTGAGTGTGGGGTGTGAGGTGAGGGAATTGCAACAAAAGGCAACCTGTACTGGGCACAGGGCCACCACAGCCCTACAAGGTGGGAATCAGTCCCTTTTTAGGCAATAGGAAAGTGAGCTTCGGACAGAAAGGGGAGGTGCCCAGGTCCCACAGCCAGAGCTGGGATTGGAACCCTCTGGTGTGACACATTCAAGGAAAGGGTGCAAGTCTTGGGGTATGCTTCTGGGGGTGAATTTGCAGCTGTGAGCCAGGTCTCTCCAGGTATACTTCTGTGGGTATTTGGATGGGTGCACCTGGGTGTGAGTATGTGGGTCTTGGAGAGATTGTGGGTGTAACTAGGTGTGCAGCTGACCTGGGTGTCGTTGGGCAGATCTTATAGACACTCCGCTTCCCATGTGCAGGCCCACTGGGACCCCTGGGCCCGGCCACCCCCTTTCCTCCTGGCCCCCTGCAGGGCAGAGGGCATCCCTTGGAACTGAGACTGCCTTCGTGGGGGCATCTAACTGAGGGGACCCCACTTGCAGGTGCCAGGAAAGGTGAGGAGGGGACTCCATAGAGGTACAGAGACCCAGCCCAGGAGGGCCCTTCTGGGAAAGTCTGCAACAGGCAGAGAGCTCAAGACTGGGCGGGACAGCTGCAGGGCTGGGTGCGCCGGGAGCTCGGGACCCATCCAAGGGCGGGGATCGGGACTGGGCCTGTTCTCCCGGCCACCACCGCACCCCCGAGGGCGGGCCCTCGTACCAGCCTCTGCCCGCGCCGGCGCTCCCCTCCCCCTCCCCCCCCCTCTTCTCCACGTGGGTGTCTCTCTGTCTCTGTCTCTTCTTTACCACAGCCCGATGTCTGCGACCCTCTCTGACAGTCCCTGTCCATTTGTACCTGGCCCCCTGTTGGACTTTGTCTCTGAAGGTCTGTCCCTCGGACTGTCTGTCTCTCCCTGGCCTGCTCAGAGCCGCCGCTTGCTGGGTCCGAGTCCCCCCTGTCCCCATGCCCCAGGTCTCGGACGTATGGCGGGAGGGGCAGGCGGGTCCCTGGCGGCAGGTCCCACGTCGGGTCCCGTGTCGCATCCCGTGTCGGTCCCGTGTCTGGGTCCGTCGTGCCCGACCCCGCCGCCCCGCGCCGCCCCCGCCCGGCACTGGGCATGCCCGGGGCGCTTCCATATAAAGCGGCGCCGCGCGGCCGGGCTCTGTGCC